TAATATATTTTATTGATTTTTTACAGAGAGGAAGGGAGAGAGAGATAGTTAGAAACATCGATGAGAAAGAAACATCGATCAGCTGCCTCCTACACATCTCCTACTGGGGATGTGCCCGCAACCCAAGTACATGCCCTTGACCGGAATCGAACCCGGGACCCTTCAGTCCGCAGGCCGACGCTCTATCCACTGAGCCAAACCGGTTTCGGCACACTAGTGTAAATCTTGAGTAGTGTTTTGACCAGAGGTCCTCAAATTTTTTAAACAAGGGGCCAATTCACTGTCCCTCAGACCGTTGGAGGGCCGGACTATAGTTTAAAAAAAAAACTATGAACAAATTCCTATGCACACTGCACATATCTTATTTTGAAGTAAAAAAACAAAACAGGAACAAATACAATATTTGTATTTGCATGTGGCCCGCGGGCCGTAGTTTGAGGACCCCTGGTTTTGACTATATTTTGAATAGGAGAGGTAGAAAAAAGAATATCATTTCATTGCAATCATGTGAATTATTTACAGTTAAGTATTATGTTAATTTAGGTTAATTTGTTTTTGTTCTCATTAGGTAATTGGTAGTAAATTTAGCACCCCCAGGAATCGAAATTTGTGATGCTCTTTGGGTATTTCTCATGACTTTCACAGTAAAATCACATGTTATGTGGATATTATTCAGGCTCATTACTAGTTCTTTTGAGATATAGATAGGAAGGCTCATAAAGGTTATTTGGTATTTGAAAGTGAGTGATGGACTTGGAAAAAGATAATTACTTCTTGTAGGCAGATGTTTTATAGATGGCTTTAATAATTTAAATCCAGATAAAACTAGGAGACTGATTAGCAAGTGCTGAGTGGTAGAGGAATTCGATTACATCTTATTAACGTCTAGGGTTTCTTTAACTGCTTCTATTCCTTACAGCTGCCTTTTAAGATTCAGTAAAGAATTTTCGTCTGAGATCCTTTATTCTGTTCTTTAATATTTTTGCATTTTTTTTCCACAGCTATTGCTTATGTGTTGATTGGCAGTGGTCTCTATGATGAAGCAATAAGGCATTTCTCAACAATGCTTCAGGTAATTTTTCTTCTTAATTATGTAATTTCAAGTTTATAGTCATGACAAAAATACGGACTCACGCATCGTTGAAGTGTTGCAGTAATCCATCTATTTTAAGGTTATGTACGAAAGCCCAGGAAATCAGCCCTGACTGGGAGCACTTCCTGGGTGCAGGCCTCATCCGGGGTCTCGTTCCATCCGCAGTGTTACTGTAAATGAGGAAAGCGAGGCTCGCCCTCGGGTAGCAGGTGGGCTTCAAATGAAGGTTTAAAAAGACAGTCATTAGCTCAGTTCACTTTCCTCCCTACCGTGGCATCTCCCACGGGTGTGGGCACTGGTGCTTCTTGGAATCCAGATGTTTGTTTTCTATGCAGGAATTGCTCTCAGTGGTTAAGTCCCACTCGTGGATTTGTTTCTCACTTTTAATTATGAGACTCCTCCGTGGGATTATGGGGCCTTGGATGATGGATAACAGCGCTAAAATCTGGTTAAGGCGAAATGCTTAATACATAGTTACAAAGGGACCCTCATGGAGCCTAACGTGGTTGGCCTCATATGTCCCATCATCATGTAACCGTATTTCTGTAGCTACGTCACCGTTACCGATGGCTGACGTAGAGGACAGTGAAGAACACGTGGACTTTAGAGTTAGAGATACTCAGGTTCCAGTCCACTTGGCTGCTCACTAGCAAGTTACTTAACCTCCTAGATTATGGGGATATAACTACCTCCAAAAGTATTAGTTAGTCCTAAATGCAATATCCTACAAAGTACTTCGGATCCAGTACTTGGCACTCAGTAAATGCTCAGTAAATTTTAACTGCTCACAGCACCATTCCGGCATATTTCTCTGTGCTGATATAGTAAGGGCCAATCGCTAGTTTACAATCCCGCACGTAGACATAATTTTAAGAAAATAATTTTGAAATTTTTTGCTGTGCATGTGTTTTCTCTTTTTTAAACATGGGTTTAGTTATGTTGATAACCCTATCTTTGCTCTCAAAAAATGGATGGTATATTTTTTAGTTATTACTTTAAAGTCCCCAAGGAGCTGTGCGTTTGGGTGGACATATGGAATAATATTCTTCAGTAGAGTTTACAGTACAAAGGATAGAGTGTAAATAGTTTTTAAAGCACCTTTCTGTTTAACATTGCAATATTTAAAAAGGTAAGCTGGCACTTGTACACAGCGAACACTTGGGCCTGGATTGAAAGGGAGGTTTTGATACATTTATAGGCACAAATGTCAATTAACCTATGGTGATCAACAGCAGAAAACAGTATGAGCTCGCAGATATATTATCAATTTATTCAACTCTTTGAAAATATTATTACCATTGTAGTTGAAGGAAATATAGCAATGTTAAAGAAAAAAATTTTAAAGAAAAAAAAATTCCAGTTTTGCCACTCTACCATTAAAGTTTTTATTGATGATCTTTTCAAAATAGGCATTTGTGTTTTGTAATCTGATTATATGTACTGTTTGTATTACATTTTCATTTAGTTGTATAAGTAAATGTTTTTCAGTATTTCTCTACAATCTTACTTTAATGGTCCTATAACATGTCTTTGTATTGTCCATTTATTGCTGCAAACCGTTTCTCTTCTAATTGTGTTCAGAAAGTAAATCTCTCTTTGTTCTGAGAAAAGATATTAATATATTGAAATGTAATAGAGCATTTTCATCAGTCTCTGAGATAATGGATTGCTTTGGTCTGGGAAGTCTTTTTTTTTTTAACATTTTTATTGATTTCAGAGAGAAAGGGGGAGAGAGAGAGATAGAAGCATCAATGATGAGGGAGAATTATTAATCAGCTGCCTCCTGCACTCCCCACATTGGGCCTGCAACCTGAGCATGTGCCCTAACCGGGAATCGAACCCTGACCTCCTGGTTCATAAGTCGACACTCAGCCACTGAGCCACTCCGGCCGGGCAGTCTGGGAAGTTTTTCTTTGTGAATGTGTGGGTGATAAGGTTGGACTGGTTTTCTGGTGATTCAGGCAACTGATGGGGCAGGAGTGGGATTAGGGAGCAGCGCTACGTTCAGACACTGTCCCCAACAGAAGAAAGAGCTGGATGGCCATTGGTGACATTTTTCTATGGAGGGGGAGTCACTTGGGCACTGCTGCTGCTGCTGCTGCTGCTGCTGCTGCTTTTCTCTCTTCTTCTTCTTTTTTAAAATAATATATTTTTATTGATTTCAGAGAGGAAGGGAGAGGGAGAGATAGATAGAAACATCAATGATAAGAGAGAATCATTGATCAGCTGCCTCCTGCACGCCCCGCACCGGGGATCCAGCCTGCAACCCCGGGCATGTGCTCTGACTGGGAATTGAACCCATAACCTTCTGGTTCATAGGTGGGTGCTCAACCTCTAAGCCACACCGACTGGGTGATTTCTCTCTTCTTATCCCTCGTTTTGGTGCCTCTTAGGTTTTCCACATCATGACGTGTGTGGAAAATCATATTTGCACGGCACACTGGAGTAACCTGAGGCCAACTTAAATTTCAGATAGAGCGTGGTGACATTTGTCCCATGTCTTTAGATTGTATAACTATAACAAACACAAAATACAAGGACTTGATACCAAATGCTGAAGTTCTTTTTACTATTTTATTAAGAAACTCATTCCTGCTTTTCTGGACAAAACTTTTCCATATTAAGCTTTATGTTTGAAAGTGAGAGTTTTTTGTTGAGTTCTTCAAATTCTTGATAGCCGGTCTCGTCAAGAAACTGTACAAGTCAGTGGTAGCAGAGCTGCGAAGAACAGTTACTGCTTCATTTCTCACCGTGACTCAGAGTTTTATAAATCAGTCTTTTTAAATAATATTTTAGGAGTATGATCACTCTTTAAACCTGACTGCTCTTCTTTTTCAATCATTGGCCAAGGCAGTGGTACTGTGGCTTGCGGCAATGAAATTGATTTTTATCCCAACAACACCCTTCCGTATTCAGTCCTCAGAACAGTGGTGCTGCGTCTCTCCCAGCGTGCACCCGTGCCTTCCCCTCGCCGCGTTAGGACCATTTTATGAGGCAGTTAGCTGGCTTTTGCGATTGATTGTGTGACCTCGAGCTCATCCGCTTATGATCTGATTCTGGTGGAAGTGACTCTGGTATGATCTTTAATAAACATCCTTTATGTAAATACGTGTGTGTGTCTACAGCTTAGCCCAAACGTAGTCCTCCATACATGGCTCTGTGGTGACTTTTTTGGATTTGTCCGTCTTTGATCCAGTGACTTGTGAGTTTTAATTTAAACAGCCAGCCTTGTGGTGGAAGAATAAATCTTTTTGTTTGTTTGTTTGTTTTTTAAATATATTTTATTGATTTTTACAGAGAGGAAGGGAGAGAGATAGAGAGTCAGAAACATCGATGAGAGAGAAACATCGATCAGCTGCCTCCTGCACATCTCCTACTGGGGATGTGCCCGCAACCCAGGTACATGCCCTTGACCGGAATCGAACCTGGGACCCTTCAGTCCGCAGGCCGACGCTCTATCCACTAAGCCAAACCGGTTTCGGCAAGAATAAATCTTGTTAAAATTTAAAGTCACCATGTAAATAATACGATGAGGATAGTGACCTAGACCTTTATTTTTGAGATATCTAAGTGGACATCCTCCCAACAAAGTAACTACCTTATTATACCAGGGTTTTTCATTTGCATGAAGTAAATAATATTAAAAGGTGGAAATATTCGTTCTCTGAAAACCCGGGTGGGTGGGTGGGTGGGTGGTGCGTGCAGATGCCGGGAGCTGGGGGAGCCGTGTGTCTGGGAGCTGTCCGTAGTGCTGACTTCCAGAGCGCGCATGTGAGCGGCCTGAACAGAAGGCAGGAGAGTGATTGGTATTTTCTGCAGAGGCATTTAGATGGGATTTCTTTCTTTTTCAAGTTACCAGTTGCCACCCTTTCGTAGGGTCTGAAATTAACTGGCACGCCAGGCAACACTTTTTAGAAAATGCACTTTCTAGAAAATACCAGATCACACTGCAGATGGAGTATACGCAGTATACATGTGTGTATATATGTATGTTATGTATGTATACATGTGTGTACTGGGTTGCAATGTAAAGTTATTTCTCGCTATGGATTAGAGTAGAAATATGAATGTCGCTGTTGTAGGTGTTGGGAGCCAGAGAATACTCCCAGCCAGGGGAGTGGCATGGTCAGACTGTAGTGCTAGACAGGTAGCGCTTAGACCAGGCCTGCAGGGGGCAGAGGTAGGAAGGTGGTGAGGCCCTTGCAGCAGCCTGGGTGAGGAGGAAGGCTTCTGTGGCCAGTCGGGGCCGATGGGTGGGGAAGGAGACACGGGAGATACTCAGGAGTGAAATTTCTAGGATTGCCTGCGTCCCCGTGTGGGGCGGGAGGTGGGGGACTCCCAGGGTGGCTGGCCTTGGCCACAGAATGTATGGGGGTGACTGTCCTGCCAGGAGAATAAGTATCTATTTAAATTCACTTCTTTCTGCTTCACCTGATGATCGTCTGGTATAAAGGTTTTCTCAGTCTTAGGAGAAAGACTTCTTGGAGAGTGGCATTTTGAGACGTTACAGACCTGAGTGGGTTTTCCTCTCACTGTGGAATGTGATCCCAGGGGACTAGCTCTGTGGGCTCACTGCCTGCCCCTCTGGCAGGCAAGGCTCCCTGACGGTGCCCTCCAGGCCCCGCTGTCAGGGGTGACTGCGCAGGGGACCCCGAAGCTGTCTGACCTCCGTGCCTCCACGATTCCTTTCCCCGCTGCCCCTCCCCCCCAGACTGCTTGCTCTGCCGTAAGCCAGGAGGGGGGTTGAGTGTTTCCCGTGTTACCTCTGGGTGGCAGGTGATGAGGGCCCTTTCTTTTTTGTGCTTTTCTTTATTTTCTAAACTTTCTGTCACTGATACTAAACGTTTTATTTACTATTAGATGTTTATTCGTAATATAATTTTCTACAATACATAGCACTTAACGTTTTTTCTGTTTATCGATGGACACGTGTTTGTTTTAAACAATTGAAAGGAATACAGCAGGGTGTTACATAGAAGGAGAGCATCTCTAGTAATCCCACCCCCAAGGAAAATCAGTTACCTGCACGATCATACGTCAGCTCCACTGACAGGAAGTAGCTGCCGCTCCTCTGTGGTTCTTTGTAGCTTGTCCTCTTTTTCCTTTTAGCGAGTAGCATGGACAGCCTTTCATGCCAGCTGCCTCTGAGTGACACATCACAAACCCAGAACCACACGGGCGCAGGGAGGCGCCTGACATGAGCGCAGTGCCTTGATGTGAGACGGAGCCGTGGGTGGGCTTGGGGAGACAGACGAATCCACACCTTCATCTGAAGAGGCAACCAGCCAGTCCTTAGCTCTAGTCATTTTTTTGTCACGTGGGCTATCTTTGTTGTATCTTTTAGTTTTCCAAGAGAAGCTAGAAATCTGTCATTGTTTCCCTGCAGTTTCCCAATTTCCCATACGGTGTGAGGCCGGTCGGGTGGAGCCAGCAACCCACGTTAGCCACTGGATATAGATGGACCTCTATTGTCTGAAGCAGCCTTTTCCTTTTCTAGTGCAGGCCGCTTCTCCTTTATTCTTTCTCTTTGCTCACAGTGAGGTGAGGTGTCCTTTCTGCAGGGCTGGCCGGCACCCCCTCAGGTCTGAACTGAGCCGTAGATTCGCCTCTAAAGTGGCCCGTCCGGTGCGATTCTATTAAATTCTTTAGCAGGGTCGAGAGTTCCACCAGGATCGTAGCCCTCTTCCTTCTTAAAGCCTGGGGCGGATTCAGAGATGAGGTCAAATGGCAGCGGCCGCATGGACTCAGGAGGCATCTCCCTCAGCATGGGGGGCAGCTCCTACCCCTGCTGTGCGGGGGCTCGATGGCCGGGCAGTCGCTCTGCCTCTGGGCCTGAGTGGCGCTTCTTGGCCCATCTGAGAGCAGGTTGCAGAATGGCCTGACCACTGAGTGTAAAGGACCCTGTGTCCCCAACTGCCCGTGGAGCCCACTGGTGTCCTGTTCCTCACTGTGCTGGCTCCGAGGGTCGGCCCTTTCCTGGTGGTTTCATGATTGTAGGACAGGAGGCAACCCAGGAAGGGGCATCACCCAGCTGTCGACTCCCCGAGCCCCCGTTTTCTGTAAGACTGGCTTGCTGATGCTGCCAGCCATGGAGTGGCCGAGAGAGTCACCTACATTCTAAATAAGATGCCTGTGAAAGAGACCAGCACAGGGCTCAGTATTGTTGGTTCTCATTATTTTAGGTTTTTTGTTTTGTTTTGTTTTGTTTTGTTTTGTTTTGTTTTGTTTTTTAATGCAAAACTCTTACTGCGTGTCTCATCCCCTGCTTGGGGACTGCGTATTGACTTACGTGTGGTAGTATAGAGCTGTCATTTGGGGTGTTAACGTGCTTTAAGCAGAAACTGACTTTGTTTTGTTTTGTTTTGTTTTGTTTCGTTTCTAGTTTTTGACGTGTTTCTGTTTTGGTCTGACTAGGAGGAGCCTGATCTGGTTAGTGCCATTTATGGCCGAGGGATAGCCTATGGAAAGAAGGGCCTACATGTGAGTATGGAATAGTCGCGCTTGCGTAGTGCCTACACGACCTGCCTTGGACCAGGGTGGATGGAGCACTCCCTGTTGGTGGAGCTCTGGTGGGACGTGCAGAGGGCTGCTCAGGTCACAGGGAGAAGGTGGCAGGAGAGGACTGACTCAAGACCAGGTGGCCGGGAGGTGGTGAACTGGGAATGTCTACCCAGGTCTGCAGAGGTCAATTTTGCCATATTGTCTACTCTTAAAGGACAGTCTTGGCCAGCCTGCACTTTATTTTGTAGTGAACTGGACGTAGACCAAGAGAAGCAGGAGACCATAACTGGTTCCTAAGACACACTCATGGTGCAAGCAGGGCCTGGGCATCAGCAGCGCAGTAGGACTCGGAATTGGAGCTCCTTTCTTAGTTATGTTTTTTTTTAACATATATATATTATTGATTTCAGAGAGGAAGGGAGAGATAGAAACATTAATGATGAGAGAGAATCACTGATCGGCTGCCTCCTGCATTCGCCCCACTCCCCACCCCCCGCTGGGGACCTAGCCTACAACCTGGGCATGTGCCCTGACCGGGAATTGAGCCATGACCTCCTGGTTCATAGGTCGATGCACAACCACTGAGCCACACTGGCTGGGCAATGTGCCGATTTTAGAGAGAACTTACCTGGACTTCCTGTTGTGTAGGACGCTTAGGGGTTTGACTGACACTGACTTGGCCCCTTCTGTTCCCCCAATGCCGCTGGTCAGCGGTGTCCTCTGCCTGCTGGTGTCCACATGCTCATCCCTTGAAATGTATTGATTCGGGGTTTTACTGGGTGAAGTTTAGAAACTATTCCACCATCTGTAGAACCTGTGATAGGAGTCAGGGCCAGCGTGCTGTTGATGGGTAGGTAGACTTGAGTGAGTTGACTAATGGTACTTTAACTTGTTTAACTTACAGATGCTAAGTTGGTATTTATTTCTAAATAAGTAGTTCTGTCGTTACTAAGTTATTATTGCAGAAATCTGTTGCGCCCGGTCTTGAGTAACAGTGCATCTCATACTGAGCTGATGCCTTTTCAAGGACATTAAGAACGCTGAGCTCGCTCTGTTCGAACTGAGCCGAGTCATTGCCCTGGAACCAGACCGCCCAGAGGTATTTGAGCAGCGAGCAGAAGTGAGTGTGGCTTTCTTTTCCCTCTGCCCTTCCCAGATTAGTTCAGTCTCAATTTTTTTTTCTATTATTTCATCACTTGTCAATTTTAAAGCCCCCTTATGCCTGCTATGTTTTCCTCCTACGTACTTAATGCTTTCAAACATGGTTGAAGTTACTAGGAAACTGTGGGCCCATGATACTCCTGATTTAGCATATAATAGTAATATTGAGTATTAAAACATGATACTCCTGATTTAACATATAATAGTAATATTGAGTATTAAAACATGATACTCCTGATTTAACATATAATAGTAATATTTCGTATTTACGACAAATACTACTGTCAGTGTTCATTGAAAAGTATATTATTGTATATGTGACGTATCTTAGCAAAACGTAATATGACGGTGTGGTCAAAATGAAACGTGTAGCCTTTCGAAGCATGTGTGTGTGCGCGTGTGTGCACGTGTTTATCTGTAACTCCTATGAGACACACCTGCCCACGTGGAGACACGGCTCAGGTAAGGGTGCCTGTCACCAGACCTTGGAGGACGCTAGTGGAGCAGGAGGTCACATAAGGCGGGACTCCAGGTAATCGCGAGAGCTGACCTGAGGGTGCTTCCTCAGGAGCCGGACGGGGTGGCCTCGGCCCCGAGTTCTGCGCGAGGTTGGCAAGGGGAGGGCTGGTGCCGGCTTCGCAGAGGCCTCGCCCTCACCGGGAGGAGATTTGGGACGCATCAGACCCACGTCCTGGGGAACACGGCGGAGGCGGGGTGCAGAGCAGAGAAAGGGATGGGTGCGAAGGCACTCATTTTAAATGCTTTTTAACGAAATGTATTCGTTTTACTGTTTTCATAAGATAATAGTGAATATCCACGTTTCCCATTGTGTTTATTTTACTGCACACTTAGCCATGTGGAATGCTTAGGGATTATGTTAATGTATTTAACCGGAATAAAACTTAACTTTAGTCATCTGATCAGGTGGGATGTCGTAGTTGAACTAAAGGAAAAAATTACTTCTTTTTCCTCTTTGGGGAGAGAAAACTTAGCAAGGAAGCACTAAGCATTTTATATATTTTTAAATATGTTTTTATTAAGAGGGGAAGGGAGAGGGAGAGAGAGAAACATCAATGATGAGAGAGAATCATTGATGGGCTGCCTCCTGCACTCCCTCCTGCACAACCTGGGCATGTGCCCTGACTGGTTCATAGGTTAACGCTCAACCACTGACCCACACTGGCCATATTTTAGTAATTTACAACTATTTGTGATGATTTTGTTCATTATAGTCTCTTAAATTAGAGTTCAGTTTCTTAAAGGGAATTTTATGTTTTATTGGGGATTTAGCTTTAAGAAGAAAATTCTTTCTCAAACAATGATATTATGATTCATTATCTCTGGTCCATGTTGGATTGTAATCCCGAGGTTCGTTCTTTCTCTACTTTGGTGAGTGCGTGGTGGTTAAAACGTTATGGATAAAGCATGACTTTAATTTCTAAGTTTACTTAGAAAAAAAAGAGTTATCTAGAAGGTTTAAAAATGTTGTATATCTAATAAAAAGCTAATTATGTATCCCAAAATGACATTGGTAATTAGAAAAGTAATTTTCAACTATCGCCCTTTTCCAGGGTTATTGGGCAATGATGTCACTACATGGCGATTTTTTCCAGCTAAATTATAGCATACCACCTACATATATATAAAAAAATTACCTTAGGAGAACGGTTTTACTCTCTGAAAAGTCTATATTCAATGAACATAATGCAGCATTTTTAGTTACTCGGGTGATTATTCTGCCTATTGATTATGGTTCTGTACCGAGGGGTCAATAAACTGGGTAGGGATGTTTTCCCTTCCAAACAGAAGCCCCGCCCACTCTGCCTGTGGGATTCTCAGGCCTACGCTTTGTTCCTTCCTCTTCCTGAGCCGGCATTCCTGCCACCGGCTATGTGCCCACCTGAATCCTCTCCCTTTTGCTAGTTAGCAGCTTCTGCAGAATAGGAAACCAGTTAGTAAAACTTGCAAAACGACCTGTATTATCAGGAGAAAACCAATCCTAACCCAAGAACGTTTGCTGAGGAGAAAGTGCTTGAGCTTGAGGCGTGCACACTGTCACCCACTTCGGGTTTCCTCACGTCTTCTTGGTGTGCCTTTGCCTTCTGCACTATCTCCTGTGGCATCCTGTGGCCTGGACACACCGGTTGCTGGGTCAGAAGAGCTCTCCAGACGGGTTTGCCGATGTGTCTCTCTCTGCATCGCGGATCATGACTGTCGAGCTAAGCATGAACACACCAGGGCTTACAGAACACCCGAAACCTTAGAAATAGTCATTCAGCACTTACTACCTCCGAGGACGTAGCCAAAGGTCATGGAAGGCTCTCTCTGGGCCCAACCGTTTCTCTGTCTTAATGGTTCCGAGTTTTCTTTCAGATTGATTTTGACCCCACATTTGGGTCTGAAAGAGTAACTAGAGGTTGAGGGAAAAATGTTCACATTTCAAGAACAGCAACATTGGTGCTAACCCAGAGCGTGGGACGACCCCAAGGCCGTGGCTGCCGTCCCAGCTCCCTAACCTTCCCCTGGGCGGACAGAGGCGAGGCCTCTCAGCTGCTGACCTTGAACCCCACTGCCCAGTGCATGGGGTCAAGGACTCTAGTCCGCGGAGGGAGTAATGCTGAGAGTGGAGTGTGCTGAAGTGTCACTGAAAACATCGGCAGTTTTAGGGTTGCTCACTGGGAGTTTTCTCTCCTGATCACCTTTTTGGGTTTGTAGATTCTGTCCCCTCTGGGACGAATTAGTGAAGCGGTGAACGATCTGACGAAGGCCATTCAGCTGCAGCCCTCCGCCCGCCTGTACCGACACCGGGGGACCCTGTACTTCATATCAGAGGTGAGTCATTTCTGCCCAGAAACACTTCCTTGCGCGATGATAAACACTTTTCCTTCTGCTTCCAGAAGATTTGGGTTTGGGGCCGCATAGTAATATGTTGGTGATACAAGACTGTTAGTTATAAGAGCATTTATTTTTATTTTTTCGCTGAAATAGAACCCGTAGCGAAATATCAAGTACCAAGAACACATTTTCTTGCTTGAACTGTCAGTAGGAACTAATTCTGGCCAGGGCAGAGGGGGTGGGGGGAGAAAGAGAGAGAGACAGAAGAGAAATTTGGTTCCTGGATTACACTTCAGCCTCTCTTGCGGTTGCCAGCGTGGGAAGCAGGTGGGCCTGCTGTCAGTGTGATTATTCACCTTAGAGGTACAATCTGAGTTCCTCTGGGTATCAACCCAAGAACCATGAGCTGAGCTAACGTGGCTCCCCAGGCCGCAGGTTCCTTCTGTGGGTGACCAGGCCTAGCAGCCTTGTCTTTTATCATCACAGTGGCATTTCTGATGGCCCCAGTTATCTATTTTGGGTTTATGTAATTTTTATAATAATTTTTAATGCAAAAAATAGATATTTTTAAAATCTCAGCATAGTACATGTGAAGATCGATTTATAGCATAATTGTTTTAGAAGTATTTAATACAATAACCTGTGAGTACCAGAAAATTTTTTAAAGTTCCTCTAACAGGTTATGACTTTAATATTACTTAAAATAGTAATATTCTCTTAATAGTTGAAACAGTATCCTTATATTTGTCGGTCTTCCCATCTATTTCCTAAGAAAATCCACTATTTTAACAGTCTAAGCATTCGAGTTATTTATCGTCATGAAATGTTTCCCCTGAGGCTGAAAGGACAGAGAACAGATGGGGATTTTTCTCTCCCGGTCAGAGGTAGGAAACGTCCAGGTGTCTAGCGAATGCTGCCTCATTCTTCCCGCTCGCCCTCCCGCAGGACTACGCCACGGCCCACGAGGACTTCCAGCAGTCCCTGGCGCTGAACAGGAACCAGCCCATCGCCATGCTGTACAAAGGACTGACTTTCTTCCACCGAGGACTCCTGAAGGTGACCGCGGCGTGCGTCGTGTGTGCGGTCTGCGGGCTCTGCTCTCGCTGCGCGGTGGGGGGAATGCCGTGGAGTGGAGTTTGGTGCAGACCGGACCCTGAGTCGGTGGTGAAACGCCTTCATTAAATGAATGAGCTTCGTTTAGATACCTCTGTGTCCCTGGTGAAGGGGTCTCTCCAGGCCCACAGCAGTTCAGAGATCCAGGAAGTGGGTGATGGGTGACCCCTGATTTACGTCATCGTCTAGCACATTAGACACCTACTGGGCAGTATTGCATGGCAGATGGCACAGCTGTCCAGCTCGTAGCTGTACCGGACAGCTTGGATGTTTTAGGGGAAAAACAGCAAACATTTTCCTATTGGATTCTCTCTGTTTTATCTGTGTCTCAAGGGTACTTAAGAAATGGTATGTTCTGAGCACGTATTTCGATCAGCCTGTACTCTGAGGGTTCCCTGAGGTTGTGCTGTCGGCCAGAGGGGGAGCTGGCCGCCCTCCAGCGGGAGGAGGCCCGGCCAGAGGTGTGAGTGGCACTCCCTGCACCAGCCGGCCCAGAGCCGGCGCATGTCCATAGAGACTGATGCATTCGAACGTAGTTTCTGTGTTCCCAACGGCTTCAAATCTTGATCCTGCTATGTCCCCTCTTTGGCAGAATGAGGTAGAGAGCTGTCCAGTCATTAGACAGGAACCCCGAAACCAAAGCCTCTTAAAAGCTGAAGAGAAATCACACATTGAAGATCTGTGGCGTCCGAGCATGCTGTAAGTGCAGTGGGCCCACAGACACCCCGACTGAACCCGCCTCCCTGGGCTCCGACCCTCCCCCTCCCGCCTCTGTCCTTCCTCCGGTCCTCCTCCCGCCTCTGTCCTTCCTCCGGTCCTCCTCACGCTGGGCAGCTGTCACCCCCACCAGGCTCTCCAGCTGATAAGCTCCCTGACTGCCTTTTGCCTTGTCCCCACACCCAGCCGCCCTGGGCTGTCCTAGTTTGCTCTTACAGGTGACTCCCGAATGGACCCTTCTTTTCTTTCCTGAGACACTGTCTCCATTCGAGCCCCTGCTACTTGGCCCCTTCCTCCCCCCTCTCCAGCCTGTCTGCTCTGCTGGTGCACAGCCGAGATCCTGTCTAGAGCCCATTCGTAGGCTGCACCCCTGCCTGCAGCCCCCAGCCCTCACTGCGAGCATGGCCCAGGGGACCACACTGGCCTGGTCCCCGACTCCTCCATCTCCTCCACTCCCACCCGAGCTGCCTGCACTCCTGCTGACCCCTTCCTCCCCCCCCACCCCCCAATTCTGAGTGCCCCGTCCCCCTGCGCAGTCCCTTCCCATCCACCAGGCCTCTGTCCTTCCCAAGTTCCTCTCCTCCACGTTCTCTGAGGCCCAGCCCACCACCCCTTCCTCTGGGAGCGCGTGCTGTACCCGGGTCAGGTAGCTGCGTCTCCCTCTATTCCCAGGACGTGGACGCGTGCCTCTATTGTAGTTCTTAGCGAGTATTCTAATAACCGGGGTAGATCCTAGCTTCTAACTCGACTGAGTGCTTAGAGGACAGAGGTGGTGACCTGCTCACCTGTCTCCCTGTGTCTCACACTGCCCGGCACGTAGTAGGCGCTCAATACATGTTTGCTGAATCAAAAATATCGTTGCAAAAATTTTTAAAAGTCAAAAGTACGTCATACCAGGAAGCCTAGTTTACAGCGGTCTTGAACATTTCTTAAATACTGAAGCTACCGGTTCTCCTCTTTCTACCAAACAGTGTTCAGTGAATTCCTTAAAGTGCACGTTGTCCCATTGTTGCCTTTGAGGACTTTTTAGAAGCCGCTCTTGCCCTGCTGCCCGCTCCTCGCCCCTAAGAACATCCAGAAGCAGGGAATGCGTGACTTTTTTAAAGAATTAGGATTGTACTGCATTTGCAAAATTACCTTGTGTGCCCACCAAATCATTAAATATTTATTGAGTGCCTACCATGTGCAAGGCATGTGACATCTTTAGTAGTTTTCTGCTCTGAACTGTCTCCTCGAGGATGAAATGACGATCACACAAGTTGTAAAGTCTTTCTCATTAAAGCGTGAGGCTTTGTAGCCATTCACTTAAGTGAGACACTTCTTCTCCTGGGGAAATGTGTGAAATGTCTTCATGATCTTTATTACAGTCAACGAGCCAATCAGAATGCCAAAGACACTTGGTGCCGGTTTAAGCCTGGGTTGTGGGTTCTGAAACAGAAGGGTCCATTTTGTAGCGGTTTTCACAGGGAGAGGCCCACAGCAGCCAGCGCTGTGTTTGCTATGGCTCCTCCTGGCAGCGGGGTGCCCTGTGGCCCCCACTCCCTTAGCTTGCGTGGCCCCCACTCCCTCAGCTGCAGACCTGCCACGGAGCTGCCAGGAGCCAGGCCCCACACGGCCACTTTTAAGGTTTCTGTTTTATTTTGTGTCCCAGTTTCTTCTTCCTTGTAGATCGTGGGAACCCTTCAGCCAGCCCATACAGGGGCCTTTTCACTTGTTTTGTGAACAGTTTCACTGTGGGCTTGCTTTTCCCCCTTTTTGTTGGTTCTATTTTATTGCTGCTAGTTATGATCATCTGAGTTTTTCCCACAGCTGCTGGGCTTTGTGGTTCCACGGGGCTTTCATTCATGAAGGAAGTGATATTAATAGGAAGGTGGTATCTTTAGGCGGAACATCCTGAGGAAAGACAGGGAGAAGCTGTGGTTCCCAGGGATGCATCTGTTGACGGAAGTAAACCCTCCAGGTTCAGTTGACTGCACTCCCTACCTCTCTCTTTTTGTAAAGTCCTCCTATTTAAAAAGTCACTAAGACCATGTGAAATATACCTTCAGGTGCTTCAGTGGTTGAAGCAAAACTCAATTTGAACTGTTCTGCAAGTGAAACAATGTTCTATATGCTTTTTGCAGGAAGCTATTGAATCCTTCAAAGAAGCTCTGAAGCAGAAGGTTGATTTTATCGATGCGTATAAAAGCCTGGGGCAGGCCTACAGGTAAGGAGAGGAGCGCCAGGTGGGCAGCAGGCGGGTGGCGAGTAGGGAAGCCAGAGCCTCAGATAGGAATGGTCTCTAAGCAAAGTTGTGTTTCTTTTCCTTGTTTTATGAGTCAGATTTTATTTTTTAATATGTTTTTATTTTATTTATTTTTTATTTTTAGAGAGAGAGGAAGGGAAGGGGATGGAGAGGTAGAAACATCGATGAGAGAGGAGCATCACCGATTGGCCACCTCCTGCACGGCCCCCAACGGGGATTGAGCCCCAAACCCAGGCATGTGCCCTGACCGGGAATCGAACCGGCAGCCTCTTGGTTCCTGGGTTGACACTCAACCGCTGAGCCACACTGGCTGGGCTGAAATTTCGTTTCTTAACCAAAGGAAATGGTCATTCTAAATCGCAAAGGCATGTGCGCACTTATTGAGAGTCTGGAATACAGCAGGAACCGTGTGTCAGAGGGTGTCATGATACTTACTCTTACACTCCTAACTTCCGTGTGTATGTGTATCTGTCTGGAAAGTGAGAGGCTTCCCCGGGTGATGGTTTGAATAGCGGCCTCACGAGCTGTGGAGTTATCGGTGCTGCTGTTTTTTTAAGCCGCCACTAAGGCTACTACCCACATGGCTATGATCTGGGTGAAGGTTGGAGTAGAGGGATGAAGTGTTACAGTTCTGACACTTCTCTGTCGGGAGGGAGAAGTTGTGCCGTGACCCTGGCTGCCTGGCTCCCTGGCTCCATGCCTGGCCCTCAGAAACAGCCATTCTGACTTTGGCTTTGGGGAAAAAAAATGCACTCTGACTTATTCAAAGGTACCATGAAAGTTAGAAAAGGAAGACAGTAACAGAAACCCTCTTCAAAACTCTGAGAGCTCGGCTGGTGTGGCTGTGGTTGAGCATCAACCTATGAACCCAGAGGTCAAGGTTCGATTCCTAGTCAGGGCACATGGGGGCTCGATCCCCAGTGTGGGGCGTGCAGGAGGCAGCCGATCCGTGATTCTCTCTCATCATGGATGTTTCTCTCTCTCTCCCTCTCCCTTTCTCTCTGACATCAATACAAATAAAAAGGGAAACCCCATGCCAAGCTATCCGATTCCCAGATTAGACCTTAACTCTGAAGATGACTTACTGAGTATGTGTCTAACGTGTCTGTACCGTGTGCGTGACTCTTGTGAAACCCCTAGAGAACTGGGCAATTTCGAAGCAGCCACCGAGAGCTTCCAGAAGGCCCTGCTGCTCAACCAGAACCACGTGCAGACCCTGCAGCTCCGGGGCCTGATGCTCTACCACCACGGCAGCCTGCAGGAGGCCCTGAAGAACTTCAAGGTGAGCCCGAGCGAGCCGGCTGCCGGTGTGCACGGCTCCCCGGGAAGTCCCGGGATGAGCGGGCTGCTGGGGAGTCGGGTTTCTGCCTCAAAACGGAAGGAAAGCCGCTGCCCCGTCCTGTAGGCTAATTCACAGAACACGTATTGGGCCTGATTTCACCTGGAGGGAGAGCTCGCCTAGTTCCAGATGAAAGGATGACGCACTGGAGCGTTTCCCTAAACTGGATTGACACTAACACACATTTCTCCCTCGCCGCCGCAGCGGTGTCTGCAGCTGGAGCCGTACAACGAGGTGTGCCAGTACATGCGGGGCCTCAGCCACGTGGCCATGGGGCAGTTCTACGAGGGGATAAAGGCACAGACCAAAGTCATGCTCAACGACCCCCTCCCCGGCCAGAAGGCCAGCCCGGAGTACCTGAAAGTGAAGTACCTCCGCGGTGAGTCAGAAACGACAGTCATTGCATTCTAACGCGGAAAACCAGAAAGCGTATTGCTTGTCTTGTCTCTTACGTTCCATGGACAACTGAGTATCAAAGGTTCCAGGGAACCTGTCCACAGCCACCCGTGGTGATTGGTGGGATTCGAACTAGATGTTTTTGTTTTTCATGTAAAACCGGATCTTTCCTTCCATTTCTTCTCTTCCTTTGTTACCACGAGCCCTTCGCAACAAACTATGTATGTAATTTAAATTCTCTAGTAGGTACATTGAAAAGGTCAAAACACACAGGTGGGATGAATTTTAACAGAACATTTTATTTAATTCCGTATATCCACAATATCAGTTCAACATGTAACTGATAGGAAAGCACTATTCATTCACTATTTTACCTTTTTTGTACTAAGTCTTCCAAGCTTGCACTTACAGTACATCTCAATTTAAATATAAATTTTCATGGAGAATATTTTATTTAAATTTCATAAAATTTAACGTTGAAAAAGTAGATTCACATATGCAAGTTCTTTCAAACATACTGAAGTTTTCTAATAACTGTATCAAATGTTTTTAAATTCATTTAAATCAAATCAATTTAAATTTAGCTTCTCAGGCACCCCACCCACATTTAAGTGCTCCGTGGCTGGGTGGCTATGGGCTGCCTATTGGTCAGCACAGCCCTGTCCTCTGAATTCCCTCTTTTTTCCTGGTTTGGAGAACTTGGACTTGTGAGCTCTAGACCGAGGGATGGGGCGCCAGGTCCCGGGTTTTTCCCGAGCTGCTTCGTAGAGATCAGCAGCAGGCGGTCCGTGGGTGAAACCATATAGGCAGTTACTCCTCTAGCAGGTGACGGAGAACCAGGCTCAATCTGACACTTGGATTCTCAGAATCTGGAATGGAAACGTGAGCTCTGTGGTGTAGTTCATGGGAAGGTGGTTACAATTCAGCCACCGTGGGCCCAGGCTGACGGCTTGTATTCACCTGGAGACTCAAGTCAGTGGCAGGTCACTCCGATTAGCATATAACAGTAGTGACTTAATTAAATTTGGAGTCTCCATGTAGGATTGTTTTTTTTTTTTTAAATTTATCTTTATTGTTGAAAGTATTAGATGTCTCTTTTTTCCCCATTGACCCCTCCGCCTCCCTCCCGCCCCCTCAGGAGGCAGTCACTGCATTATTGTTATGCACACAAGCATAAAAGTTCCCTGGTTCATCTCTTCCCACCCACCCACCCCCGCCTTCCCGCCGAAATTCATCCTTCTGTTTCATGCCTCTGTGTCTCTGGATCTATTTTGTTCATCCGTTTATTTTGTTCATTAGATTCCACATGTGAGTGAGATCATGTGATGCTTGTCTTTCTCTGGCTGGCTTCTTCCGTTTAGCATGGTGCTCCCCATTTAGAGTTACTGTAATGAAGTACCTGTGTCACAAAACATTTGTGTGGCCGCCAGCTATAGAAGATGCTCCTTTAGCGGCATTGGGTGTGTGAGGTCTCACTTCCTGCCCGCAGAATATTCTCGGTACCTCCACGCGCACCTGGACACGCCCCTCACGGAGTACAACGTGGACGCGGACCTGCCCGGGAGCTTCAAGGACCACTGGGCTAAGAACCTGCCCTTCCTCATAGAAGACTACGAGGAGCAGCCGGGCTTGCAGCCCCACATCAAGTGAGTGCCCTGAAGGAGTGTCCTCTGGTTCAGACTGAACCATAGTCCATCGGGCTGTCTCTTCACCAATACATGGCTTTCTGTTCCTGTTTCTGATTACTTTTGGATTTGACACGTCTGCAAATATTTCTTTTTATGTATATATATATATTTTTATTGACTTCAAAGAGAGTGAAGGTGAGGGAGAAAGAGATAGAAACATCAATGATGAGAAGGAATCACGGATCGGCTGCCTCCTGCACGCCCCACACTGGGGATCGAGCCCACAACCCAGGCATGTGCCCTGACCGGGTATCGAACCATGACCTCCTGGTTCATGGGTCGACGCTCAACCTCTCAGCTGCACCAGCCGGGCTTCTTTAGGTTATAAAGTGCCATGAAACTTACCTCTGGATATCGTCATTTCTTCTAGTCGGATCTTCCCTGCTAATCGTGGGCAGTCTGACTGGCAGCCTTTGATACGCATTATTCTTCTGCTGTGTTACTTTTAAAACAAATTACTTAACATACTGAAAGTCTGAAATCCCACTACTGACCAACGACTGCTGCCATAGGGCAAAGTGGAGATGCCGAAGGGCTCTCCGGTCACAGCACCGTTAGATCTAGAATAGATACTGATTCCTGGGAGTCCACAGTGTCTTAAAAATTAAGGAAATTTTGTAAAGATAAACCCTCTCACTCTCTAAAAAGAAAGAAGGGCGTCCAAACTGGAATGGCGAATGGTCAGCACGTTTACAAGGAAGGTGTCCCAGAGGGGAGCGTATCTAACAGCTGCGGTGGAAGGATGCTGGAGGCAGCCCAGCCCTGTGGCTCACAGGCTGAGCATCAACCCAGGAACCAAGCGGTTACCGGTTCAATTCTCGGACAGGGCACATCCCAGTGTTGGGGGCTCGATCCTAGTAGGGGCATGCAGGAGGCAGCCTATCGATGTTTCTATCTCTCTATCCCTCTCACTTCCTCTCTCTGAAGATCAATAAAAACATATTTAAAAAAAAAAAAAGCATGCTGGAGGCACAGGCAGGAGGGCTTGGCTAAACTGGAAAGGGCTGCACTGATCCCACGTGGGAGGCTTTCACCAGAAGCAGATGCAGATCCTGCCGAGGAAGAACTCGGTGCCGATTCGGGCCCCAGCATCCCACAGAATTAGATCGTTAATGTGAGAATCGGCAGCAACCGGGTGGCCTTCGGCTTCCTGATTGGTTTTCGGTGGAGGCGGCGACTGCTCTTCCGGGGAAACCGGTGACCGGATGCCCGTTGTAAAAGTCCTTATCGTGTCCGACCTGTTTCTTCCAGAGACGTGTTACATCAGAACTTTGAGAGCTACAAGCCGGAGGTACAAGAGCTGATCTGCGTAGCGGATCGTCTGGGGTCACTGATGCAGTACGAAACGCCTGGTTTCCTGCCCAACAAGAGAATACACAGAGGTACGTGAAAGGCTCCGAAAATGGAGCCATTTCAGACAAAGGAGCCAGGATTGCTAAACCGCACTGTGCTTTAAACCATATGCTGTGCTCAACATCTCCACATGATCATCACAGCAACGTGTGGATTCATTCATCTGCATCCCGAAGGAGGACGCCTCCTGCCCTGGCTCCGTGCGGTTGCCATGGTGTGGACGTAAACATAGACCCTAGGGCGGTCTGAGGCCTGCGGGGCAGGCGGCTCCCCCGTCCCCCGGGGCAGCTTCCTTCCTGGAGGCCTCCGGGTGCTTTGGGAGGGAGCCGAGGGGAAGGGACACCTTTGGGGTGTCTCTAGTCCCCTCTGGAAGGTTGAGTTTTGGCAGGGCCGTCACCATTGCAGTGTGCATCCGGTCTTGTTAAATCTCCACACTTGTGGTTCTTTCTTTACACATTGACCCTTGAACAGCGCAGATTGGACCTGCAGGGCCCACTCGTGCGTGGATATTTTCAGTGCATCTGTGGAAGCTCATAGGGATTTCCGGCTTTCCCAAAGCAGTCAGATTGCTGGTTCTTCCCTATCAGTGCACGAACCCTGACACCTGCAGATACGTCTGACCTTTCCCACATGAGCTTTCCCTGTGTCATGGCTGCTGTTGTGGACAGGTGCTGCCCCCACAGTGCATTGCCTAAGACAGTACTGATGTGGGTGCCGGCAGACAGTTGTCTTGCCAACAGACGATGTGAACGTAACGGCATGTACAGCACAGAACTGTGGAGGCAGTTTCTCTTCTTAGGATTTAATAACATTTTTATTTCTCAAGTTTACTGTATCCTAAGAATAGAGTACACAATACACATCACAGATGAAATATGTGTTGGTCAACTGTTTATGTAATCAGGACTGTTTATGTAATCAGGAAGGCTTATGGCCAACAGTAGGCCATTGGCAGTTAGTTTGGGGGAATCAGAGTGGTCCCCGGGTTTCCAGCTGTGCAGGTGGCCAGTGCCCCAACCCAGTGTTCAAGGGTCCGCTGTTACCGACTGGAGTTACCCCTGAGACGCGAGCTCAGGCCGCACTGTCCTGGCCGCCACTCCCTCACGGTTTCTTCCGCAGCCATGGGCCTGGCCGCCCTGGAGGTCATGCAGGCCGTGCAGCGGACCTGGACCAGCTCGAAGGTGCGCATGAACGGGAAGACGCGGCTGATGCAGTGGAGGGACATGTTCGACATCGCGGTGAAGTGGAGACGGTAACCAGCATTTCATGACAGAGACGAGGTCTCCTCGCCCTGGCCGGTGCTGCTCAATGGATAGAGCCGCGGCCTGCGGACCGCAGGGTCCCGGGTTTGATTCCTATCAAGGGCATGTACCTCGGTTGCAGGCTCCTCCCTGGACCGGGCCCTGGTCAGGGCTCGGGAATGAGGCAACCACTCATTGTGTCTCTCTCACGTCGATATTTCTGTCTTTCCCTCTACCTTCCACTCTCTCTAAAAATCAATGGAAAAAATATCCTCGGGTGAGGATTTAAAAAAAAATAGTCTCCTCAACAGGTTTCGAGTTCTGTTTTATTTCCTAACAAGAAGCCTCATACGTTATATGATCCTCTCTAAATTTGTCAAGTATTGCTGGCATCATTACACTCATTTACTATTGACAAAATAGGAGTTATCATGTTTCCACATACATTTTTTTAAAAAGTATTTTAGAAAAAGCAATCTCTTTTTTTTTTTTAGAAAAAATACGTTTTTATTTATTTTAGAGAGAGAGGAAGGGAGAGGGAGAGAGGAACATTGATCGGTTACCTCCCTTGCCCCCGTCGGGACGGCGCCCACAACCTGGGCATGTGCCCTGACTGGGAACAGAAGCGGCACCTTCTGGTGCGTGGGAAGGCGCTCAGCCAGCTGAGCCGCACCGGCCAGAAGAGCAGTCGTTTCGAAAGAGCGGGCGCCTGTGGCCTTTGCATGGACTTCGGCTCGCGTCTCTATAGCTGCCGTGTGTGCCTGGGTGCCCAGCGCCGGCGTGGGTCACAGATGATACTCACTTTCATGAGAAAGTGCCGCTCTGCTCGTGAGCCTGCCCTGACTTCCTCCGTGGCCCAGTCGGGACAGCTGGTTGGAGTTTGGTCTGCGCCACCGCTTTCTCCCGCTTGTGCAAAGACGGTGTTTTATTGTTAACGCGTTGGGACCTTTCTGGGCTGTGGAAGGCCTTGTCTCTAACAAGCTCTGTTTCACAGGATTGCGGACCCAGACCAGCCGGTGCTGTGGTTAGATCAGATGCCGGCCCGCAGCCTGAGCAGAGGTTTCAACAACCACATCAATTTAATCAGGTAGGACCCCCCCGTGTATCTTCTCTGTCTTCATCGGAGTTTATTCTCAATCGTGGGCCTGGAGACCGTGAGAGGCCCATGGCTCCTTTCCTGGTGACCTGGACGAGGGCCGGCACAGACCCGCTCTGCCGTGCAGTCCTGGCTGCAGCCTCGCAGCTGGTCCCGCTGCGGGAGGAAGCGCGGTCCCTGGGAGGCAGGGAGTGGTTAGGAAGCTTCACCTGGGTCAGGTGAGCAGGTACCCAGGCCTGGAAGCTGTGCAGAGTGAGTTGGAGGGGAGAGAGGATGCTCCGAAGGTAGGATGAGGAGCGCTGGTGGGGGGTGGACACGGGGAGGGCATGGGGCCACAGGGAGGCGTCCTGTCTGGCTCAGGTGTGTGGGTGTCCCAGGAGGCCAGGTAGCGACAGGACACAAAGGGCGTGGGCATAGAGCTGGGAGAGTGTCGATGAGTGGGTTCCTGTTGGACTGTTAGGAACTCGAGGTTTGGGGAGTCTGGGGAGCAGTTGGGTGTGTGCATGTCGCACACACGTAGGTTGTGTCCATTTTCTTGTACATGTGCATGCCAGTGAGGTGTGTACATGTTGGACATGTACGTCAGTCTGATGTACACGTGACACCAATCGGGTGTATACATTTTCTGGTTCATGTACATGTCCGTGGAGTGTGCCCATCACCGTGTGGCTGTGCATGGAGTTCTGGGGGTTTTAAGATTGGGGGTGGGGGTGGGGGTGGGCGTAGAAATGTGAGAGAAATCCTTTAGGGCGGGTAGTGGGGATGGTGGGCTGCCTGCGGGTGGACATCAGGCAGCAGCAGCAGCAGTGCTGTCAGGAGAACGGGGAGAAGGCGTGTCGCTGGGAAAGTGCAGGGGTCCCGGGGAGGGAAGAGGCACGGACGTCTGAGCCTCGTTAGTCCTTGAGGACCTTCCTCCCACTCGGGCATCTCCAGGGCAGCACCTTCCCCAGAACCGGCTGCACGAGCCGACGAGCAGTCCTTGCCTCTCCGTGCATTGGTTGCAAACGGGTGAATTTCCCTGTAGGTGTGGCTACCTCATCCTATTCACTTTCTTATTGTTCTTTTGAATTAACTTGGAAATTCGATGTTGTTTGGCATCTATTCCTTTGTAAAAATTCTTTATTGTTTTTCTTACAGGGGGCAGGTGATAAACATGAGATACCTGGAGTATTTCGAGAAAATTCTTCATTTTATTAAAGACAGAATTCTAATTTATCACGGGTAAACCTTTACATTCTTTTTCCTAGTGATGGATTGATTTCACATCTTTGTTATGTTTGTGAAACTTGAAAACAGCCTATTGATGGAGTAAACAAAGTGTATTAAATGTTTACATCGTGTTTGGAATCATGAAGCCTTTCATAGTGACTTGTCAACCTGCTTCTTCATAACTTAACAGACTCCACAGACCTCAATATTGTGGCTTTCCTAGTCCCTTCTCAAAGGCAGGATGCTCCTTTATAAGGGACTTAGTATCCATTCTCCTCACCAGAGAGGAAGGGAGATGTAAAGACATAGTTATAACAGTGAACAGAACGCTGGAGAAAAAAAATTCTGAATGAGTCATTGTCACCAAGTAAATATAAAATTGATATAAAAACCTAGCAGGGAAATAAAAAATTAATAAGAAACAACAACACCAACCTAGCAGGTACTTCTGTGTGAGCAAAGAAAAAGCATTTGCTTCTAACTTCAGAGTTGGAGTCGGCGAATGAGGTTTCATGGCCACACAGGATGCTCGTCCAATCTGCTTCTCCGTTTCCTTCATTCTCATCTGTGGGCTAAACGTGTTCGGATTAACCTTCCTATTACTTAGAAACTTTCGCTGTGGCCCAGCGAGAGGTAACCACACAATTACTACGTTTCTGTGTTGATTTTAGTCCCATCTCTCTCTCTCTTTTAGTGCCAATAACCCCAAAGGCTTGTTGGAGGTGAGGGAAGCCCTGGAGAAGGTGCACAAAGTGGAAGACCTGCTTCCGATCATGAAGGTAAGTTTACCCTCAGGTCCGCGCACACCTTCGGGAAGAAGTAAAGCTGCAGCCTTCTTGGAGTCGCTAAACGCCATGTGTATTAATATTACGCGGTCAGTGTCGTCAAGTTTATAAAGTGCGCTGCCCGAAAACCCTCGCATACCCACGCTGCGTAATAACCAAAATAAAGTGAAACTCAGGCATCGCACTCAGGCATAGAAGCAGGTCTGTGAGGAAGCAGTCGATGTGGGAGACAGAAGGAACCTTAAAGACACACGCAGGTGAATCCTGCTTCAAGCATGTGGTGACTCGCGTCTCATGAGCGACGCTGCCATGGGTGACAAGGTTCTCTGAAACGGTGAACCACGCTCCGGAAAGTTCCAGACAGTACATGGTACACCGCTTCCTCAGTGTATGTGCTGCTGGCAATCCTGGAAAATTCCCTGCATATTAAAACTAACAAGCATTTAGTGCGTAAGCATAACGGAGTCCCAGGTCTCGGTCATTACGAAGTTATAACTGGGTTCTCGTCTACAGGAAAGTCCAGAGGGGCATCGGGTAGTCTTGGCTCCCACCCACCTCATCGCTGTGGCCACCAAACGCCCCATGAATTCCCCAAATGCCCCCCAGAGGGCGGAACGGCTCCACGAGGGCTGCTGGGATGCACCACTCAGAACACTGGCCGCCTCTGTCTGTAACCTCTAGTTTCCGGGAGTGTTTTGGGCAGAACACACAATCAGCTTAGGGAGGTTTTAATATGTCAGACGTGTGTCGGTTTAAAGAGGAAGCGTGCTGGACGCAGTGGCTCAGTGCCCCGAGAGGGAGCAGCTGGCGGGATCCCTGGAACATGCTGGCCCGTGATCTGCATAGTCGGTGTGGGTCCAAGTTCCCAGTTGCAAATGTCACTGGGAACACTTTCCAGAACAATCAGACGCGCTCGGGAGGCGCGCAGCACGGGCACGGTGTTGCTCTGAGTTCGGGTGTCGGTGCAGCTCTTCCGCTCAGACTCAGAGTTGCTGCCGATGACGAGCATAGAAGTCACCCAAACCCAAAGCAGCTCCAGGAGTGAGCGGTGCCCTGGCCGGGCCGGGAGCCGGGATCCTGCAGTGCCGCGGTTCTCTGTGGCCTCATACGGGGTGTGAACTGGGCCCAGAGTCCGTGCTGGGGCCTGTGCTCCGTCACTGCTGGATGGTCTGTGCGTCCGGGACCTCGGTGACCTCCTGGGAGCACGGGCGTCGAGTCCGCCCCGCACAGCGGCGGGTGGGGGTTGACAGTGACTTGTACACGAGTAACGTGAACTTTCTTTCCCCCGAAAGCAGTTCAATACTAAGACGAAGGATGGGTTCACCGTGAACACCAAGGTCCCCAGCCTCAAGGACCAAGGGAAGGAGTACGATGGCTTCACCATCACCATCACCGGCGACAAGTACGTGCTCGGCCGGGTGGGGCCGTCGCCAGTGCAGAGTGGGCTGTGCTCTGTGCCGGTTGCCACGGAGACTCCGCAGCAGGGCTGTCCCTGTCCCCTGACGCGAAACAAGGCCGAGTGTGGCCATAAACAGTCGTTTCTTCACATGACAGCCATAGTGTTAACACGGCAGACGACTCCTCACTGTGCTGGTGTAACAGCCTTCTCGGTGCTGAGGGTGATGTCTCAGGTGGCAGTGCCCCTCTGGGTTCTGGAAGTTCTTTGTGGGGAAGGCTTTCACTAATAAGACGAACAGAGCTGAGAGACTGGCAGACGGAAGGCCATTCCAAGTTCTTCTAATACAGGTGTTAATGTATTTCAAGAACAGCGCCTGGTGTACAACATTTAGAATACACAGATAAAAATTAAAAAATAGAATACGCCGATAAGCACAGACTAACAAGTACAAACCCTGAAGTTCTTTTCTTTAGAAACCGATTATGTTGTGCATATTGCTTTACTATCCTCACCATTGCTTTATAGCATGTCCCATGTCCTGAGCATGTGTAATAATTGCTTAGTGTTCCATTTTATGGAAGTTGTTGTTTCCCGCACTACTTTTTTTTGTTATTGACCATTTAGGGGGTGTCCTATTTTTTCACTCTCTCAGTAGCCCCACAGGGGCGTTTTTATTAACTACTAGAGGCCTGGTGCACAGACTTGAGCACACTGAAAGGAAATTAATTAAAAGGTGGCCGGCCAGGCGGGACTGGGCAAGACGGGCCTGACATCCCCTAGAGCTACCCTCCCTTGGTCCCTCCCCGGCTGGCCTCACCTGGGGCGTGCTGGGGCTCAAGGCATCTGCGGAGTGAGCGGGGTCCCTCCGGCAAGGGGGACCCCTTGATCTGGCCTGCGGGGAACAGGCTGAAACCAGCTCTCCAACATCCCCCAAGCGGTCCCGGAGTGCGAGAGGGCACTCTGCAAAGTTGCTGTCCCTCAGCGGCTCCTGCGTTGAGCATCTGCCCCCTGGTGCTCAGTGCACGTCATACCCGTCCACCAGTCAGCTGGCCGCTTAGCCTTTTATATATATAGATTCTAAAATCCAGACTTCACCCGCGGCCTCGTGTCCCTGGAATAGCAGTCTCAGATCCTAGTAGTTCATGCCTCACTTCTACCCCCTCCCTCAAACACCTGCGGTGGCAAATGACATCCTCCCAGACCTGGCCTGGAGCTGCGCCTGCAGCAGAGGCTTAACGAAAGGAGAGGAGACTGGTGTCCCAGAGCTTTCTGAGGCCCTGCACCCCGGTCACACCGGGGTGGCCGTTTCTGGGCGTTTAAACGCACTCTCTGCCCCGTGTAGCCCTTTCCCCCTGTATTTGCTTAAGCTCCTAGAATAAGTGCATATGGTTAGACCCAGCAACTTCCGGGTTGTGAGAAAACCACATCCCATGGCCCATCCCTCACCCGTGTGGTCAGAAAGGTGGGGTGGCCCATCCCTCACCGTGTGGTCGGTAGGCGGGGTCCGCTCCCTGCGGGACCTGTGCCACGTCAGTGTGCCATTTGCTTCCTTTCTGACTCTGTTTGGTTCTGGGTTGTAGCGCCCAGGCCTCTGACTTGCGTTCTTGTATTTTTAGGGTTGGCAACATACTATTTTCTGTGGAAACTCAGACCACAGAAGAAAGAACACAATTATATCACGCGGAAATCGACGCCCTCTATAAAGACCTGACGGCCAAGGGGAAAGTACTCATTCTCTCGTCGGAGTTCGGGGTGGGTGTGTGCGTCCCTCTCGTCCACGCTGCCCGCGCTTCTCTGTAAACGTTAAGCCTCTGCCCTCTCATTGGGATGATGCATTTTATGCTTGAAACCAGCTTTCACGGTCCTGTACGTATTTTAGATGTGCTTATCAAGACGGTGCCATATTTAGTAACTGCAGTCACTGGGGAGGGGGAAATGAATGTATATTTACTATATTATCATACATTTGGGTTTTGTCATGATTGAAATGAAAAATTTGGCCCCTGATGAAAGTGACCTTTTCTGGTCTGTGACCTTGTCCCTCCATTGCCCACCCCAACGCAAGGGGGGCTCCCCGGAGGCAGGATCTGGCCTGTCCCCTGCATGTCTGCGCTGTCCCTGGGCCGAGAGTCTGAGGACTCCATCCACATCCTGGAACGGGTGCCCGTGGCCCCTCGAAGGCACCTTATTTCTCTCGCAGTTTTAGTCAGTTACTTCTTATAATTAAGCATCTAAGTTTTATACATAATTAAGCATATTTACCACCTAAATCTCTGCAGAGGGGTGCTTACCAGAATCTTTAGAGGTAGGGAGGCTTGTCAAAAGCATAATCGATACTAATAAGTGCTTTATGTTCATCTCAATGTATATTCTGACCTTGCAAATGGCATTAAAGGAGGTAGAGATTTGTATGCTTATCAGAAACGTTTGCAGTTGTAAAAACAGCTGGGAAGGTAGGCTCTAGACTGGACTGTGCACCCTTCTGTTAGCAAAACTACAGGAGAGCACCCGGTGTCAGGAGCGGGAGCAGGCTGCTGGGGAGGAGTGGCCTATGGGGACACCCGGTGTCAGGAGTGGGAGCAGCTGCGGGAGAGGAGTGAGATGACCCTGTTCCCAGTGTGTTCTGTCACCTGATAAAGACTCAGTCTGTCATTGGTGTGTAAGTTCACGGGCATGTGTCTTTTTTTCCTAGGAGGCTGACGCTGTTTGCAACTTAATCTTATCCTTAGTTTATTACTTTTATAATTTAATGCCACTCTCTCGAGGATCCAGGTGAGTGCTGTCCTATACTTTAAAAGGTTTCACAGAGAAAAACATGTTCTTTTTTTTGCTTACAGTTCTGTGGGTGTGGGTACAGAAGTAACCCAATCAAAGACCAGAAGCCTGCCTTTTGGTTTTTTCAAAGTCCACCCCCACATTATGTCCTTGATCTACCACATCATCAAAAATAATTACTCGAGAGTTCTGATGTTGTGTGCTGGAGTGCTATGGCTCGGGGCTCATTCGTTCCACGAAGGTGTATTGAAGGCCTACTGTGTGCAGGCTTCGTGCTCCTTGTACCTTAATTTTCATATTCGCCCACACTGTTACCCCACCCTCATCTCGTCTCCCCCAAATTTTGGCCATTAATTGACCTGTTGTCCTAATGTTTTATACTTTTGAGCCACCCACCATTCTGTACTGTTTTTACCATGTGAATAAATTCTGGCTCATGAACCTTCAGGGGCTTAGATGTCCGTAACAAGGGAGGTGTCTGTAGGGTGCCCAGTGCTGCGTGCATGTCACTGGCATGTGCTGTCGTTGGCACCTGTCTGTAGGGTGCCCGGGCCAGGCCCCATCCTGCCTCGTCCCCTCCCTCCCTCTCTGCCCTGCGGAACCTCTGAGGGTCCTGCCCCCACCACCTCCCACCTTTCCTCGCATCCTCAAGTCCCCCCGGGCAGCTCCCTCCTGCTGTGCCAGCCCAGGCCCTGCCGCCTCCTCCGCCTCCTGCGCCTGCCCTGCCCTCTGTGGGGTCCTCCCTGGTAGGGGAGCCCCGGCGACTCCTGTCCCAGGGGCCCGCTCACCCCTCTTAGTTATCTGCGTCCTGAGCCACCTGGGTCGCCTGACGCGGGCACACGCTCGGGCGTCACAGAGATGCGAGAATCAGGAGGGAGTGTGTTCGGTGCCAGGAAGGAGACGGACACAACGTATCGCTTTTCAAACCCGCTGGTGGCACTGGAGAGCAAGTTCTGTTTTTCTCCTCTGAAGGCCAGTTTTTAATGCTTAAGCGATAGGATTAACCTGGATCTACCAAGTATATTGTCGATACGCATGTGACAGCCAAGCCACATGAAGCTGTTAAATATAAACAGACATATTTTCTAATCCATTGTCCCCAGGAATCGGAAACCTAAGTGGGAAGAAGCGTCCTAATTAAAAGAAGGCTTCTGTTCCTCAGAAAAAGATATTCTCGGTCACATTGACCCTTGCATTTTACATTGTGGATCCTTTTGTAGTAGTAAGTTAGTCTGTACCTTTTAAACCAAATGAAAGCAACCTTACGTTCAATGTTCAGAGGCTTCTTAAGAGAAAGAAAATGTCATCTTTTACGACGGGAAGCCCGGTGAGCTGGGGAACTGACCTGTGCTTCCTTTAAACAGTGTGATCGCGTACTCGGTGATCGTGGGGGTGCTGATGGCCAGCGGCAAGGAAGTGGCTGGGAAGATCCCCAAGGGCAAGGTAGGCGCCGGGCCCGGGGAGGATGGCCGTTCCCGCCGGGCTGTGGCTTGTGAAGACCCGTGAGGGGACCAGGTGTCCCAGGGAGAGCCGCGCCTCATGTCTCACCCGCTCCCTAACGCTCCTTCTCTCTCAGCTGGTGGACTTTGAAGCCATGACAGCCCCTGGTTCCGAGGCCTTCAGCAAAGTAGCCAAAAGCTGGATGAACTTGAAAAGGTCAGTCTCGCGGGGTCCGCAGAGGGTGTTGAGCTGACGGGAGAGAAGGGGCCGTCACTCCCGGGGCTGCTGCCGCTGAGGGGCTGGGACTCGCTCGATTCCCAAGTTCCTCTCACACAGTGAGCGTGCAGGGCAGCTGGTCTGCGGTCCTGGAAGACCCCTTCAAGGGCGAGTGTGTGGGTGACAATAATGAATGCAGACGCTGTGAAAAGAAGTTCCAAACGTCTTTATTATTTGTGTAACCAGACAGCCAGCTCTCGTGGCTCATGTACCGCTCACCCCCGCCCCTCCGGTTCTGTGCTCAGGAGCGAGTGGACACTGAGTTGATCCTGTGCAGCCGTGGCCCGTACAGTGGCGCTTGCACGGCTCTCGGTTCTGAGCAGGTGGGCGTTGTCCTCACCGAGGCGACACGCGTGTGCGTCAGTGAACAGTGCCGACGCCACGCGATCGGCCACCTCCGCCCCTCCTGGCTCTGCTCTGCGGAAGCCGCAGGGGAGTGGGTTTGGGAGGAAACTGCTTGCAGATGCCTCGACCGTCAGCAAAGATTAAACCAGCTCCCTCTGGCCACACTCACCCTGCCCCTTCTCCACGTTTTCCCATGGTAACCGCCACGTGGCGCCTTGCACATCTACAGGCCACGGCGGCCACTCTGCCAGCCGGGCCGTGGTCCCGGCTGTGAGACGGAGCCCCTGTCTGCGGACACTCTGGTTCCGTCTGCACATCCGTTAGCCTTGCCACGCGTGTCTAGCGGCCCCACGTTCTCCCGGGATACCCTTGTTTCGGGTTTCCTGCTTCACACAGGTGCCCGCCCGTGGGACGTGTGCACCTCGCGGTCATGTGCAAATCAGAGTTTTAATATTTTTTCTCAAAGACTCTGATTGAACTTCTGAGCAGCTCATTGCATGAGCCTCTGGTGCCGAGGTGCCTAGGAGGGTGTGTTCCGCTCCCACCTCCGTGTTTTTGTACTAACTGTCATTACATCTGTGGGCTGTTGGAAAGTGGGTGTCACAGTAGGAAGGAAGACAGCATAAGCTCTGCCTTTTTTGTAAAATCATGTGACTGTTCACACCCCTCCTGTGTTTTTCCTCTTCAGCATTTCGCCTGCTTACAAGGCCCTGCCCTCCGTGTCGGAGACGTTCCCCACGCTGCGGTCCATGATCGAGGTGCTGAACGCCGACTCCTCGCCGCGCTGCCTGCAGCAGCTCTAGCCGCGCTGGGGGGTTGACACAGTAAAGGGCGGACTCGTGCTTCTTAAGTTATTTTTTAAAACGTGGAATTACAAAGAAATTAGGTCCTTTATTACTTTTGATACCAATTTTTGATAGGAATTGAATACTTGAAATCGTTCTCTTTACTTTCGGAACCAGAACAGAAATCATGAGAGGTTTGGGGGAGGGAAGGCGAGTGTACTAGCCGGTGGCTTGTGGCTTCCGCTTAAAAGTCCTACAGCTCCTCCCTTACAGCAAAAAAGTTTACTTCACAACCAAAAACTAATAATGAAAAGGAACAGAACCAGCGGCAGCAGGAGTGTTTGCCTCCCTGTCCAGGTCTGCGTTTTTCCCAAGGTTTTTTTTTTATGCACATCGTGCCGGGCGTCTGGCTCCGACTCCTGTGACCTCACGTGCCGGCTCTCCACTGGGGCTTCCTTGGGGGTGCCGGCCGTCAGCGCCTGCGCGGAGCCTGCAGCCGGGAGCTCGGCTTTGAATGGTGCGGACGGTTTTTGCCAGCGACCGAAACACTGAATTATCGAACCATGTTTTTTTTTTTTTCCTCTTTGTTGGGAAAAATAAACAGGGGTGATTTCTCTGAATCACTGGTGTTAGACACTGGATCATGTATGCTTTTATTTTGTGAACGAGTTTCACTTCAGGCATAAGAGCATTCAGAAAAGTACTGGTGATTTTTTGCAGACAGGGTACATGACCGTGAGTGAAATGGGCTCATTAAACTTGCCATTTCCAACTCGTCTTCCTTTTCTTGATTTTGGTTGAAGAGTGAATCTCTTCCCTGTGTTCTGTTCCTAGTGTCTGTGTTGGCTGCGCTCATGGTAGACAGGTGTCGCTGCTTTTCACGTTGCAGGCGAGGGAGCTGAGGTGCAGGGAGTCCTGACTGTCCAAGGTCACCAGCTGCTGAGGGGGGTGGGGGCCCGGATTCCAGCTGGTCCTCTGACCCCAGGGCCTGCCCTGCTCACCGTAGTCCATGGACCCACGACTCCATTCTCAGGTGCTTAGACTCAGAGGAAACGTAGCGCCGTCCACGGGAGCCTCTGTGTGTCTGTCCGTGTCTTGCGCTCAAGTCCTGACCCCCAGCGGGTCTGTCCATCTGGTCTGTGCCCCTGAGGCCTGGAAGCCCAGAGGGCCGCCTCCCCTGCTCTGCAGGACGCAAAGCACGAGGTTAGAGAGAGCGGGGAGGAACATTTTTTGTTTTGTTTTGACTTTTTCCTCTTCTTGCTTTTTACCTCAAAGTCAAATCCTTCCATTTTATCCAGGACTTTTCCTCACTTTATCACCAGCCCTTTGAGCTTTTAAATCCCGAGAGACCCCTTTGTCACTTGGTGAAATGGTCCGAATAAGTGAGCTGCCTTTCTAAGAGATGACACTTTCTAAACCCCGTTTGCATGTATGAGGCTCCTGCCCTTCCCTTTCTCTGCTTCGCCTCGTGTCCTCGGAGTCCCCAGCGACCTCACGGACAGCGGGTTAGAAATCACGAGAGGCAGGACGGCGGGTTCATGAAAGAGCAAGTCTGGAAGGTCCGTGGGTGAGAATCATGCGTGCCAGGAATCACAACTGTAGCCCCAAACATCTGCAGCCCCCACCTCTGGTGTGGCTGCCCTACGTCAGGATGCGCTAGAGACCGCTAGGATGCTCTAGAGACCGCTAGGATGCTCTAGAGACCGCCAGGATGCTCTAGAAACCGCTAGGATGCTCTAGAGACCGCCAGGATGCTCTAGAAACCGCTAGGATGCTCTGGGAGCCGCCAGGATGCTCTGGGAGCCACCAGGATGCTCTAGAAACCGCTAGGATGCTCTGGGAGCCAAGCAGCGTTCTTGTTTAGACCCCAGGACCAGGAAACAGGATTACCATTGAGTGCTAACCCGAGTTAGGCAACAGCCACCGAGCCTGGGGCTTCTGCCTCTGCCAAGGGGCTTGAATCACTGCACTTTCCAGGAGCCGTCCTCTGGTTTAAATTAGTCTGGAAAATTCCCCGGCCTCCCTCCGCCGCTGGGAGGAAAATTCCACTTGTGCTCCGGGTCCTGGGCCTACACACGTCAGCTGTGACGACAGCGTGCGCCCCGCCCCGTCAGTGCAAGCCGGGGCCCTGGTGACCCCTTGCAAGTGGATCTGCTTGCCTCGTGCCCCTGGGCAGCTCTCGTATGAAGTGTGGACTTGCTTCCTAGGAAGAGTTCTATCCAGTCAAGAGCCTCTGGACCCAGATTCAAGAAGCTTCCAGCCCTGTCAGTGTGGCTTGGGTTGAGCTTCGGCCCATGAACCAGGAGGTCACGGTTCAATTCCCAGTCGGGGCACATGCCTGGGTTTCGGGTTTGATCCCCAGTAGGGGGCGTGCAGGAGGCAGCTGATCAGTGATTCTCTCTCATTGATGTTTCTCCTTCTCCCTTCCAGTCTGAAATCAATACAAATATATATTTTTTTTTAAATGCCATCAGAGGACAGAAGGGCCTTGTTTTGAGCCTTGTGTGGCTTTGCCTGGAGAAGGTGATTCTGTTCCTTAGACATGAGGGTGCCGCGCCCCTGTTCCGACTTGGTGACAGACCATGGTTGACTCCGTGACAGTTCTCCCTACAATCGGAAAAATACCCGAACCCCTTAAAACATTCAACGACGTTTCTGCCAAGAGTAAGTCTGTCAGATCATCTTGTCTTTCCCTTCCTCCTTGTCTCGGTCATGAACTCAGCCCTCCAACCACACCATGTACCGGCTGGTTTCCATATCAACCGGGTTCGCCTGGCCGGTGTTGCACAATGGGTAGAGCATCGGCCTGCAGACTGAAGGGTCACGGGTCCCATTCTGGTCAAGGGCATGTACCTCGGTTGCAAGCTCGATCCCTGGCCCTGGCCGGAGCGCATGTGTCTCTCACATTGCTGTTTCTGTCTCTCTGTCTCTCCCCCTTTTTCCACTCTAAAAATCAACGGGGAAATATCCTCAGGTGAGGGGATTAACCACCACAAAAATATAAGCCAGGCTCACTCCCGCCCCCCGCCCGTCCTCTCTGGGGGTGGGAGTGGAGCGCAGAGCCCAGGCAGGGCGGCATCTGGAATAACCAGTAACAGATGCCGGGCTGAGTCATCGTCCTCGGGCCTGCCTGCATCCGAGCAGAAAGCGTCTATAAGGGAGGCGGCCTCACCCACCAGCACACGCACTGCCCGGCCCGTCACCAAGAGGCGGCTCCCCCAGACGATCATCGCTTGCCACGGTGCCCGGGGTTTCGCGCTCAGTTTCTGAAACCAGCTGGCACTGTCAGAGCTGGTCATGGGCTGGGAGAAGCAGGGCCGGGTTGCTGGCTCTGTGGTTTTCCATGATCTCGACGGTTTCTCCGCGGGGCACTGGGCTCGCAACCTGTTTGGGAAAACAGATTCGTTCCCCAGACATCTGTTTGTGTGTGTGTGTGATTTGATATATTTTTATTGATTTCAGAGAGGAAAGGAGAGGGAGAGTGATGGAAACATCAGTGACGAGAATCATTGTTCAGCTGCCTCCTGCACACCCCCTACTGGGGATCCTGGGGACCGAGCCGGCAACCAGGGCATGTGCCCCAACCAGGAATTGAACTGTGATCTGGTTCATAGGTCGATGCTCTACCACCTCGCCACGCGGGCCAGGCCATTCCCCAGACACCTGTACTAACAGCTTACACGACATGTGGCTGACACTCGGCTGTGTCGTTGGCACATTGGGATGGGCAGCGGAGAGAGAAGAGGAGCCATGGCCTGATCTTCAACTAGAAGATAACGGTCCTGGAATAGCCATTCATGAGCCCAGGGACGTGAACATGACATGTGGGTGAACACGTCACATACAGCACACGAAGGGCCAGTGGACATAGAGTCCGAGGGGTTCACTGGCCCGCGGGAGGGGCTTCCCCAGGCCTCCCCTCTCTCATATGACACCCAAAAGGTTGCAGATGCCATCTCCATCTTGTTTTTTAATATATATAATATATTTGTACTGATTTTAGAGAGGGAGAGAGCGATAGAAACATCCATGATGAGAGAGAATCCTGGATCGGCTGCCTCCTGCACGCCCCACACTGGAGGTCAAGCCTGCAACCTGGGCATGTGCCCTGACCAGGAATGGCAGAACGACCGGTCGCTATGATGTGCACTGACCACCAGGGGGCAGATGCTCAACACAGAAGCTGCCCCCAGCTTGCAGGCCCTGACTGGTGGCGGCGGCAGAAGGCAAGGTTGATGAGCAGGTGGCGACAGGGCAACCAAGGCGGGTGCCAGCGGGGCCCCCAGTTGCCGCACAGATCGGCCCTGATCGACGGCCAGGCCTAGGGACCCTACCCATGCACAAATTCCATGCACTGGGCCTCTAGTAGAGAATAATAATCCCCAAAAGTCCTTCTCATCCTTTTGGCTTCATACATAGTCTTCCACATACTGTGCAATCCAGGCTGTGGTCTGGCGGCTGTTCCCAGGATATCATGCTGAT